CAAAATATTAAATTATTCAATACTTTGGTTAAAATAAAAGATTTAAAACCCTTGTGTCATAATCGATGGATATTTTCTAACAGATTAACAGTTATATAAATTATACAGATATAACTGTATAACGTATGTGACAAAAATGTTTAGCTTAAAAATTAATAGTATTTGATATCATTAATGTTTTACATCGTTTGAGACATTTATTAATTACAACAAATTATATGAATAATTATTAATAAAATGTTAATAATAAGTGACACATTTGATCCATAATTACAATTACTGTTGTAATCTCTTAAATCCATCGAAATAAATGTCTTCTATGTAAAAATATTTTGATAAATTATTTTAAAATAACAAAGAATTTGTTTTTATTTTTATAGTCAAACCAATATTTTGATATAACGAATGAACATAAAAGTTACATTTATACTGAATTTTCTATTCCGGATCGATATATTGGTATAAAAATCACTCAAATTTGGTAGTGTATCGAAAAACGGAAACTTAAATTCAAATTACAAATTCATTGCAAAAAAATTATTCATTGATTTCATATAATAATAGAGAATTGAAAGAAGAATCAGTCATTGCTTTTGTGTTGTGACTGTTGAGAGCAATTGTGTTGAATGTATTTCACAACTAAACCATAATTTATAGATTAGTTTTCAAAGATTGCGATCAAAAGCCAAAAACAATAGTTGTTTAATAACACACTTAAATGCACTCAATGTTTGTTTTGCATGGAATATATTATTCTTAAAATAACTGTTTTATGTAAAGCTTTTAATTTATCAAAAAGTTTATTTATTTTATCATTTTTGTGCAATAAATTGCAAAATTATAAGAGTATTTCATAATAATAATGAGATTTTCATTATAATATTGCACTTGTTTTCAAACAGATTTTATTGAAATATGAATCGCTAACTGATATAATATATATTATATACTCAACTAAATAAAAGTCTCGAAAATCTTTCAAATAAGTTTTGTAACAAAATTTGATTTTCACATTTTGAATGTTTAACAAACAAAACAGATTTAAAGATTTAAAACTTTGTTATGCCATCACTTACTTCATCGATAAACTCCTGATTGTCAGCAACGGGTTGTTTGGCTTCGGCCGTCATGACTGACCAACGGTTACATAAATTTTAATCAAAAATCTCATTACAGAGCCCACACGAGATGTGGACATATTTTTTGTTTGACATTTCTGTTGAGATCGTTTGAGTCACACTTTTATATAACGATTCAATGAATACATATTTAATATGAGACACGTATAGAATGGGAAAAACTAATCGAAACTCTGGACACAAATGTTTGACACATGTCTTCACAATACATACATATATGCGGCAAAGAATGTCATATTTACACAATTCATGCAATTCTTTCGGCTTTACATCGGATCACATGAATAGAGGAAATAATTTCAAGTTTTTACAACTCTTTACTTCAAATGATATATTTATTACACGACTAATGAAAATGAGTTTAAATAATGGAAAAATGATTACTTAATTAAATAAAAGGGAAGAATTCACTCATAAGTTATATATAATAAAGGGCTTGACTTTAGCTATCGATGGGAACAACTCATCAATTATGAGACGAAATCACGTGAAGAGACGATGAGTTAATCCATTAAAACCCAAAATAGAAGAAACAGACAATTGATGTGAAGTAAAGCCCATTAGAGGGAAGACAGAGATAGTGAGAGAAAGCGAGAGAACAGAGGGAATGGTATTTAAAAAAGAGAACAGAATTCCTCGTTTCGATCACTGGTTTGTTGTGTTGGAGGCAGAGTTGGAGCAGTGCTTTGGCGCTCAGGGATCCGGAGTACACGGATGTGCGCTCCAGAGTTGCGCTCATAGACCTCATAGACATCATAGACCTACTCATACCAGACGAGCAAATAAGAGACTTTCCAACCCATCAGACCATTGCATACCATCGCAAACCATTGCAACTCTATTGTGAACACTGGATGTGCGCTCAGCATCACAATCAAGACTTTCAATCTGTTTTATACTCACTTTCGGTCATTCAGTGAATCGATCACAAAAAAATTAAATACTATTTTTCAGTTTCAATAACTACTTAAGTGTTTGACAATCGGTTTAACACTTTGTGTGTGAAGTGAAGACAACAACAAAAGTTTGTGTATTTATTAGCCGAGAAATACATGAATAATGGAAAAATGACCCAAATATCGATCCCAACTTTAGGCCCATTATATGAGTAGTTCTCGTATTTCTATTTTATGCAACGAATAGAAACACTTTTAAACCATAAATATTATACTAAAATACAGACATAAACAGTGAATCGAGAATCGCATTAAGTTTTCTCTCTCCGTCTCTCCTTTTTCTCCCTTTTCTCACGTAATCACATATTTTCCTCCAAGAAATCCATCATTTATTAAATTATAACTTTTTCTCCAATGCATTACAACTTTCTATTCAATACTATAACCGCAGTTTTTTATTCAATTTATCAAAAGCAGTTTATTGTTTGAAAATGTATTCCTAAAACAATGTTTTATTTAAAATTTAATTATTATATTAAATGAAAATTAATTTCATTGGCTATCGCTTTAGTGTTGCAATTAATTTCCATTACAAACCACAAAAGTGAGTCTTATATTATACTTTAATGTTAAACATAATGTCTAGTTTTATGAGCGCATAACTCAATATAAGTTACTAGACGTAAAATTATTTTTTCATACAAAAGTGCATTCATTCATAACATTATAACATTTGTTTTAAACAAAAGAAATTTTCTTTTTATGTATCGAATGGTATTCTCGTATTCTCTTTGTACTCAAAATAATTGAATTGTTTGTACGAAATAACTTTTTTCATCCCTTTTTGTCATAAACTGTCTTTCAATCCCCAAAATATGAGGCAAAAGTGTAGCAAACATTCATTCATTATATCCATTCATACAAAGTGTCAGAATATAATTTAAAATTTCTTTTATCAAATATGAATATTTGTATTCATAACCAAAATTTAAATCTTCCGATTCTGTAGATCCCATACCTCTCGCGTTGAAAAGCATTCAATAATTTTTATTTAAATTCTTTCGGAATTCTATTATCTGTATTCAAGGCTAACATTACTGCACAGAATATACATGTTTTTGGTATAGATATGGAAAGTAGAAAACTGTGTATACTTTTCAATTTTTTGAGACATTTAAAAAATAAAAAAAGTTCCATATTTTATAATTTATTAAAATTTATCATAAATGCAAAGTTATTTATAAATTGGATTTTAATTATATTTAAGTGATTATTAAGTAAGACTTAATAGAATTATTATCTAGCCAATTATATAGCTATGAAACAAATATTATGTTAATAATATGAGAATTAATTGCCTGAAAACAAATTCATGTCATTAATGTTCATTTATTGATTATTTGTATCAATAAGAAAAGCCCATTGGCTTAACACATGTAAGCCGTAATGATTAGAATATAAGTTAATATTAAATAAAGGCATGCCTTAGAAATCATAAACGCAAAGATTTTTATGAGTTTATGAATAATAGAGTATAATATTATACAGTATATAAGAATTTTATAGTAATTATTATATAATGAAAAATAGTTTAAGTCAAAAAACATTAATTGAATTTTTGTAAAACAAATATTTTAATTAAATTTGTCGCCAAAAATCAATTCAACGCGTATTAAACTAACGTATTATTTAAAACAGCAATTTATAGCTATGTTATATCAATATTAATCTACAGAATATTTTTAAACAAAAGTTTTAATGGTTTTACGGTAATTAAGAATCATAATTAAATAATCAGAAAATGAAATATTTCTCGACATTACTGCATATATTTAATCTAATTTTTTGTTTTTCAAAATGTTTTGCTGTTTGCTACAAAAAATTCAAGTTTTCGTATAATATTTTATAATAAAAGGTTTAATATTCAGTGCACACAATAGAAATCAATAAATGTGTGAATCCTTTAGTAAAGAGTAAACGGAAATTTTTTGGATAATTTCCAAACACTTGATATCGGAGGTTATATTTGCAATAAAATTGATCAAAAATTTCTATATTATATGACAAATATACAGAATTTCAAAGAATGGCAAATATTAGGCTATTTTTCCATACTTTTTGGTCTAGAAATATAAGTGATTTATAGTTAATATACGGCAATATTATGCAAATCTTATGTAAATGAGAACTCGTCTTAATGTAAATAAAGTTTATATTAAAATAAATTTCTTTAATTAACTTTTGTCTCATTATATTAACAAAATTAAATGTTAAATATATATTTCATTAAATTAAATTAAAAGATTTAATTAAATTTTCTAATTTCAACTGTACCCTAAATAAATACATAATCGGTTTAAATAAAACTTTATTAAACAAACAAAGCAAATATATATATAAATAAATATTTCAAACAATTATTGGACTCTCAATAGTAACTGAAACTCAATATACGTTTAAAGGATTAGCGAAACTTGCGGAATAAAAATAAATATTTGAATAATATTTTGAGGCTCTTATTGATTAATAAATGAGAAAAAAGTTTAGAGAAATGGTGTTTCGAGCCATAACTCGACGACTCAAATAAAACAGTGATTTTCAATTCAAAGATTTAACTCAATATTTCAGTTGTCAAGCGTTGTCTCAAAAACACATTAAATCGTTTATTTCCAAAATAAAGCTCTTTTGGAAACTCTCTCCGAAAATGTCACAAAAATTTGCAATTCGTTTGAATACAAGAGAAAGAAAAGACTTTTGATATTCGTTTCAAATGTTAGGTTTGATTTTATTTGCTGTCATTTGAGAATCGATTAAATTTAATAGAAATAAATTATATAAATAAACTGATTTTATATATGAGTAATGAGTTATATGTGAGTTATATAATATAACTTATATACAAATTAATGATTATTTTCTGTTAAATCACATTATTGTTGAGAGAATTAGTGTAAACCAACAAAAACTTTTGAACGTTTGCTGTGATTATGTGAATGGTATGGGAGATGAAGAATACATGAGACCATTGATGGCTTAGTGAGCGATTGGGAGTACGTCTGTATGGCTAGAAGTGAGGCATACATACTTTGCCCGCAAATAACTCAGATATCACTCTATAAATAGTGAACAAATAAACGGTAAGAACACAACTGAAGAGCACCGGTAGGTGTGAGAAAGACTCACGTAATCCAAAGCGAGAGAACGAAAAATATGTACGAAATGCCGACCTATGGGTGGGAAAGGGATGCGAGAGTGAGTGAGTGAGTGAGTGAGTGAGTGTTAGAGCTCGTGGTGTGTCAGACCTGATGAGAACTGGGCAGTTGGTAGGGCTGACCGCCGATGGCGTCGACAGTGAATCCCATGGGGAAGACAACGGCCGCCAAACAGAAGTGAACCATCGCTGAGAAGCCGAACCAACGCGCGGACGACACCACCGATTGGTGCCAATGGGAGACAATGAAGAGCACGACCGTCACTGTCACGCAAACACATCCACCCATTATACACATCAGGGTCACCGTCCACTCGGTCTGCAGTTTAGGACTATAGCAGTAGGGGTTGCGGCCATAGATGGCTACGCACGACCTCAACAGTCCGAAACGGGTGTCACCGCCCACGTCAGACACTATCCAATCCGGAAGTATTAGCGATATTATGGCCAATATGTCGCTCGTGAGGAATAGGGCCACCGATATGACCGTCAGTTTGTCCATCGCTGGCCTCTTAACGCGTTGTTGGGATCCGCTTCAAGACATAATCAGCGGTCAAATGAATGGACACATGGATTGAGACAATGGTCTGAATGAGTGATCACTGAATGGATCACTGAATGGATTCACTATTTAGTCCACAATTCACTCACTAAACAGTGTTTACTAACAATTGGTTTGACATTTCATTGCAAGTGTTCACAAACAGCGTTACTATTATTAGTGGGTTTGACTCGATTCACAATTTGTAAAGTAAGACATTCATTGTTATCTATTCTTATAAAGTGGTCAATGAATGTATAAATATTTTATTTAACAAATGGTTAAAGCATATTCATTTTTATAATTATAATAAATATAAATAATACTGATGAAATAGTCTAAATTTACTAAATATGTCAATATGTGGTGTTTTATGAAACAACTTTCAAACAAATAGCGAATACATTGCGACCTCTTTTGCACAGAATATGTATTGATATAAAGAATTCAATTCTTGA